CTGCTGCTGCTGCTGCTGCTGCTGCTGCTGCTGCTGTCAGGTCACCTCCATAAACCACCGCAGCAGCTCGCCTAGGCCTCGTCTCTTCTGCTGCTGCTGCTGCTGCTACTTCTGCTGCTTTCAAGTCAGCAGCAGCAGCAGCAACTGCAGCAGCAGCAGCAGCAGCAAGGCAATATATAAACAAAGACTGCAGCACAGCGACGCGCGGGAGCTGCCTATACACCCCAATTCAGAGCTGCGTATACACCCCAAGGCTTGTTCCACCAGTCCGAAGCAACACAGCAGCAAATACAAGAAGCAGCAGCAGCAGCAACAGAAGCAGCAGCAGCAACAGCAACAGCAGCAGCAGCAGCGACAATAACAGCAGAAGTACCAGCAACACCACCAGCAACAGCAGCAACAGCACCAGTAGCAGCAGCAGCAGCAGTAGCAGCAGTAGCAATAGCTGCAGAACCATCAGCAGCAGCAACAACAACAACAACAGCAGCAGCAGCAGCAGCAGCAGCTGCTGCAGCAGCACGGGTCCTGGCATGTGGTCGTTTCAGCAGCAGTCCTCTTTAGCTCTGCAGCAGCAGCAGCAGCTGTTGCAGCAGCAGCAGCAGCAACAGCAGCAGCACTTGCTGCAGCGTCAGCAGCAGAACTACGGCTGCTCTTCTCTCCACAAAGACGGTCCGTATCCCCCCTCTAAACACCACCACCAGCAGCAGCAGCAGCTGCTGCAGCAGCAGCAGCAGCAGCAGCAGCAGCAGCAGCAGCACTGTCTCCACTCCCCCAAGCTGCTGCACCATGCTCCTCAGTCTCTAGGCAGCAGCAGCAGCAGCAGCAGCGGCCTCGCCTCCCGCCAGACCTCCTGCGGGCCCAGCCGCTCTCTCAGCAGCAGCGAAGACATCACGAGGCCCCACAGCAGCAGCAGCAGCAGCAGCAGCAGCAGCAGCAGCAGCAGGAGTGGCAGCAATCTGGGGTTCTCTCTTAACCCGGAAGGGTCCTTCAGACATAGCAACAGCAGCAGCAGCAACAGCAGCAGCAGCAGCAGCAGCAGAGCCAATCTAATACATCCTTATCTTGATGCTTCTCTACCACATACCGACGATGCATTTGCTGCTGAGCTGCAGCAAGACTCATCAGCAGCAGCAGCAGCAGCAGCAGCAGCAGCTTTCTCTGGCGAATCTAACCCTCTCCCCCCCGACGAGCTGCCCTCTTCTTCCCTTCACGAGCATGCAGACGAAGGGGGCCCCCTGGGGGCCCCCCTTGGGGGCCCCCGCCGCCCCCTTTCGTGGTTGTGGTTTGTCTACGGGTTTCATGGGGGGCCCCCAGGGGGGCCCCTCTTATCTGCGGCTGAAGGGTAGAAGCAAATCTACGTTTTCTGTGTGTGAGGATATGCAGCAGCAGCAGAGTCGTCGTGTTCGTTTTTCTCTTGTTGAGGGGCAGCAGCAGCAGCAACTCCAACAGCAACAAGAACTGCTGTGCTGCAGCGACGAATGAGTGATAGCGGGGCAATGGGGAGAAGCCTATCAACCTCAGCAGCAGCAGCAGCAGCAGCAGCAGCAGCAGGAGCAGGAGGAGCAGCAGGAGGAGGCACATCAGCAGCAGCAGCAGCAGCAGCAGCAACAGCAGCAGCAGCAGCAGATGCAGGATACCTCACACTCACCATGGGCTCTACCCTGGGGGCCTCCAGCGCCCTGCAGCCCAGCGACGTCTTCAGCAGGATGGAGGTTGCTGCGGTGCCAGAGGGTAAACCCTAAACCCTAAACCCTAAACCCTAAACCCTAAACCCTAGAGAGGTGTGGAGATGGTACAGATGAACTTTCGTTTTTAGTTTCAACCGTGTAGGGGATAACACGATGCACAAACCCTAAACCCTAAACCCTAAACCCTAAACCCTAAACCCTAAATTCTAAACCTTAAACCGTAAACCCTAAACCCTAAATTCTAAACCCTAAACCCTAAACCCTCAGAAACAGAAGAGAGGTTGTTAGTGCCAGCTGAAGCGGAGAGAAGATAGCGTCAAATTGATAGAGAAAGGATTGTTTTGCTGCTGCTGTTGCTGCTGCTGCTGCTGCTGCTGCTGCTGTTTGCTGCTGCTGCTGCTGCTGCTGCTTTCTGCTGCTGCTGCTGCTCTTTGCTGCTGCTACCCTGTGCCCCTGTTACGTTCTGCTGCTGCTGCATTCTGCTGCTGCCTGCTGGCTGCTGCTGCTGCTGCTGCTGCTGTTTGCTGCTGCTGCTGCTGCAGGCTGCTCCAGTACTGCCGTCGGGTCTCATGTCTTGCTGCAGCTGCAGGAGAGCACGCAGCAGCAGCAGCTGCAGCAGCAGCAGCTGCAGCAGCAGCAGCAAACAGACTCTGCGCGAGCTGCTGAAGCTGCAGCAGAGGCAGCAGCCCGAGAAGCAACTGCAGCAGCAGCAGATGCAGCAGCAGCAGCAACAGCAGCAGCAGTTGCAGCAGCAAGCTCAGCTTCAGCTGAAGCAGAAGCTGCAGCAATTGAGGCTTTAGCAGCAGCAAAGGAAGTGGCAGCAGCAGCAGCAGCGAAGACGCACCCCT